GATGTTATAGCCGAGGGGCTTGCGTTTTGTTTACTGTTTAATACTGGTGGTTTGGGTGAGGCTATTAGGGGTTGGAGGAGGCCTGATAGGGGACCCACAGCAGTGTGGGGACCCCAGCGCCAGTGAGGGCGCAGCATTCGGGCTGCACTGACCCCAGTCCCAGAAAGGCAGTATTTGAGGAGCCCCAGAGAGAGAGGGCAGCATTTCAGGAGCCCCAGAGAGAGAGGGCAGCATTTGAGGAGCCCTAGGAGAGGGGGCAGCATTGTGGAGAAGCCCCAGAGAGAAGGGGGCAGCATTATTGGGAGAAGCCCCAGAGAGAAGGGGGCAGCATTGATGAGCGCTGGAGAGGGCGCAGAGAGAGACAGGGCTGAGGAGAGCCCGAGCACCGTAGAGGGCCCAGAGAGAGACCGAACAATGTCAGTTACTCCTGTGAGGCTTGGCGCGTGGTAAAGGGGTGGTTGGAGCCACGCATAGCCCATAAGGCTAGGGTGCCCTGAAACACCCACTATAGAACAGGGCCCAGAAAGGGGTCCAGGAGCCCACGGGGCTCGGAGCACATCTAAACCGTGTCCAAGAAGACGTGAAGGCAGCCTCCCTAATATAGTTGAACACCAAAGACGTGGTGGGCGAGAATTTGAGGGTGCCCTTAGGCCAACTTGGCACGGGGAGGGGGCCTTGAGGAGATCACGGCCCTCCTGCAGGACCCCGCGCCATGACATCCCTATTTAAGGTCTGTATATCTCGCTCAGACCACCACAACTGGCTTGATCTCCCTCTTCCCATATTAATGGGGCCACTAACTCAGAAATTCCCAGGATAAATTGTCAATAATAATTACAAAATCCTAGAAAGGACCAGATTCTTAGGTAACCTATAATCCCAAATAGCTGGAACTTTATCCACCACGGGTTGAATACAGCCCTGGCCTACCTGGAACCCAAAATACGGGGTTTCTTCCTGGCACATTTTTTAGGGTTAGCTGTTAGCCCAGCAGTCCTTAACTCTTGTAATACAGCTTTTACATGTTGTTGATGTTGTAGCCAGTCCTCTGAAAAAATAATAATATCATCAATGTATGCCACGGCATAATTTTGGTGTGGGGCTAAGATCTTATCCACCAAAGCTGAAATGAAGCAGCTGCTGCATGCAACCCAAAGGGCATTCTCTTAAACTGAAATAAGCCCCAGGGTGTGCCAAAAGCTGTTTTCTCTCTATCCTGTGCAGCCATAGGGCTGCCAATACCCCTTTGCTAATCAAGTTTCGAAATAGCCTGATCTATCCTCTTCACTATATCATCAATTTGTGGCATTGGAAAGGTATCAAAAGTAGCCACTTCATTTGACTTTCTATAATTTACACCAGCGGTTACCAACCAGTGGATCTTGATCCACCGGTAGATCTTGGAGCCTCTTGGAGTACCTAGATTTTCTTGAGCCAAGTTTTTCACCTGTTCTAATCCTCTAAATATTATGTTACGTGCCTCTGCCTCCTGAGTTCTCATTCTCACCAGCTCCTCCATTTGTGCTTGCTGATTTTGCAAAATCCGTGGGGTAAGACTGCGTGCTTGTTGCCAGTCCAATGGTGGTTTCACATCTCCACGCATTGTCTCCATGTTGATTACACTTGGCTTCCCAGCCAATGCACCACTTTTGTGACAGGTAAGTAATATCTTAAGGTTCCTGCTTATGGATCTAGGAAACTGGCGGCTATCTTCGTTCATTCACTCACCTGCCACGCCTTTGATGGGAGACTATATGGATATATCAGTAAACAAACAGAAGATAATTGCAGGTCATACAGTCAGGTTTATATGATGTTCCTTAATATGCCTTTTTTTACCTGGTGTGGTCATACACGGAGTCATAACAAGGTCTATCTGGTGTATTATCTTGAGTCATATTAGTTAAGTTGATCTAGCTCACAAGATGGCTGCCACCATGTCAAGGAGCTATACGTGTATTCGCTCTGACATGGCTTAACTTAATTTGACGTAGTTAACTCGCCTTATTTTAAGTGGACTTAGTACCTGTGTATGCACCCCATGTTAGTGAAGTTTACCATAACCTGGATTGCTATAGTCATTGAATCTCTTCTTCGCTAAGCAGAAAAATTTAGCAGCGTTCCTTGGAGACAGGAATAGTTATCATAGGAGGGAGGCTTTATTTTGTACAAATTTCAACAATAAAAGCATGAGAAAGTCTGCACAGTGACAGCAGACACTTAAGTTAGTATTCACCTTCAGTAAGAAATACGGTATCTCTGTAAAGAGTCAGGTGAAGGGCATAAGATATATTTTATTAGACATAGGTGGATTTGATACATGTCATGAATATAGCTCTTCCATTCTACTTGTTCAGACAGGTTGTGTGTACAGATTTCTACTTTTTTTTCAATTAGGAAAAATACGCCATAAAAAGCAGCTGCTATTTGACAATACAAGATATGTATGAGTTATCACCTGAAGACTACAAATGTGCGCAGAAATTTTTCTTTTGCCTGATACATTAAAATGCAGTCAATAAAAACATTTTAAATGGTCAAGTACAGTAAAAAAATTCAGCTGGTAGAATGAAAACTGATAGATATATGATTTCATTTTATATGGCACCCCTCCATTGTTTCATTATAAATTTGTAAAAGGCACCACACATTAAAATTGTAAAGCAAGAAAGAAATCAAAACCAAGCAACTTTCCATGATTTCCATACTGTACAAATACATACATCTTAAGGCATGTGTTTTTATGTGCAAAAGACAGGTATACAAGTAAAACCAATTTTAACATTATATAATCTCACACTATCATTTTCTTTTAGTAATAACATTGGTGTTCAAATATTTACAGTGTATTGAAAACACTTTTCTCTAACAGAACCCAAAATAGAAGGTAGGCTGGATATATGGCCCTGATAACAATAAGTTTTTAAATTAAGAGCTTTTACGAAGACCTCTTAAAACACGTGGGAAAAGTCACTCTCTTTTTCTTGTTACGTCTTCTTTTAAAAAAGTCCATATCAACTTGTTCACTATGTCAGGCTGATCCTGCTGGAGCCAATGGCTGGCTTCAGACAAAATAGTTAACCTGAAATGATTTTTAACATAAATCCGTGTAATTTCTGCCATTTCAACTTCCATAAATGCATCTTTTTCTCCCCATAGCAACAGAGTAGGCATGGTGACCTCATGATGCTGCAGAGGTAGGCAACTTTAAAAACAAAACACAAAGTTTAATTTTGTTTTACAAAATCTTCCTGGTAAATGTCAATCAGTTTAGCTTTCTAATTATAAACATATGAAAGTCTCACTGTAGGCTTTCAGGGTCCAAGTTATCCATAACATTATCAGGAAAATACTAATTTGGACTACAGTCCTTTAAAATTAGACATAAACATCTTTAAAAGGTATCTTTATTACTGCATTTACCATTGTCTGAAACCTACAGATGCTTTTTAAAACAAAATCTCATTGCTGATCTAGCCTGTTTTTAATTGCTATAGCAAGAGATAATTTTAAAACTCATTCAGTTGGAAAGGAACTTTGTTAAACATTTCTGTAATACAGTAATATCTCTGCACCTATAGGCAATGAATAGGGGAACATAGGAGGGCATGTGCCCCTCCTGAGACTGGCCACCAGGGCTTGTCACCCCCTGCCCGCCCCCACTGCTGATGCCACCAATGGCTTCTGTGGCGCAGTCACTGCTCACCACTGCTGGCTTCTGCAGGTGGTTGGCACTTGCTACCACTGATGCTGGCTTCTGTGGGTGGTCACCAATCGCTGCTCGCAAACCTTCAACCTCCCCCACCCCCATCCACCTCTCTGGCTTCTGCAGGTGGTTGCCACTTGCCACCCTGCCACTGCCGCCCACAAATTGTGCCCTCCCAGTCTTGGGAGGCACCAGTCATTCACGTTTGCACCAATTATTTGCAAATCATTTCCAAGTGCCCTTTGCTTTATCTGATATGTTTTGAACTGTAACTATTTAAAAATATCTTCACATGCCTAATAAATTATCTGAAACAAAAAACAAGCAGCAGCCAGATCCCTACTCCCAGTTTTGTGTTGCAAAGCAGACTTAAACTTGGAAAATCTTTTTGGTAGAGGACCCCCCCCCCCCC